TGCACCTATAGCGGCTACAGTATCACAGCAGGAGGCCTTTCAGCGCCGTCTTCCCTTGCTGTGTTCACATAAGAGGTAGCAGTAGATTATCTAACATTCTCTGTGCATTTGTATTCCTGGATGCTGGAGCGAGCTCTCACGTCGGCCATGTTTCAGGAGTGGAGCAGCGGCTACAGTAATTTGTTGTTTTGGTGAGCTCCTTGTTCGATGATGGATAGATACAGACTATATGCTTAGAATTTTGAATCATGTCGTCAACCACTATATGCTTCCTTTTTATGCACTCAGGGTTGCTGGATTTGAATACAAATTGTGAATGTTTGCAGGGATACCGGCCACTAGTTCTAGTTTTTTTTATTGCTTTCCTTTGGTTACTATGCTTGTATGCACGCATGCTCAACTATGTTTTGAGACCTGATTAGAATAAAAAAATTGTGTTTATGCATGAATTTCTATATAGATATAGAAGCTGCTTGTTATACTTGAGTGAAATGTTTTGATTTGTACTTACTATGTTTTGACGCATCCGCTAGGCATGTTCTATGCAAACAAACAAAATCTCCAACACTGGACTGTATGTGTTGCGCTCCCCAAGTGCAGGCTCAAAATTTCTATGCACACATACAAAATATCTGTTTCGCAGTATGCATACAAAAGTTTCTATGCATACATAAGCTGCCTGAAGTACAGGCTCTCTGCAGCACGGTGAGCAGCAGGATGGCCCTGATCTAGCAGAGGCTCGTCACCTTCATCTTTTATGCTTGCAGTCTCCACCTTCTATGCATGATTCTCATGTTAATTATACACCCCATAGTGGGAAGCATAATGCTGGTAGATGCAATCACGGTTGTGTTAGGTGGAATGTCCATCTAGCGGCAAGGTTTCTATGCGCGCAGTTTTAGGTAGCTGCACTTTGAGTTTTTATGCATCCAATGCATAAAAGCTAGGAACAATTTTTTATGCATATTAATTAACAAGAAACTGATGTATTTTTACGACAATTATTTTTCCATGATGTTTTTATCTGATTTTTGGTTGCAGCATTGGATGAATAGGTGGTTTGCAGAAAATGAATAGCTACCAACGCAGGCAAGCATGATTTCTGAGCAATTGATTTTTTATTTCTATGCATCTTGAGCTAACCGTGTAAGCAAGAACTCATTTAGAAGACTTCTATACATTGTTGGAGTACATTTTATACATTGTTGGAGCACATTTATATTTAATGTTGGAACACATTTCCATACATAGTCACGTGCACATATATATGGATCTGCCGACGAAGGTGATCTCATGTTATTTTTCTATGCACAATTGTCATATGGCCACCATACACAACCTGTTAAATCGAATGCCCGGCAGCATGCAAGACCTTGTGTGTTAAATTTTTTATGCTTTCTTATGACCGTGTGTCTATGTGATTTGAATGCAAATTGTGGCATCCGGTGACAGGCTGGCAGTGTCCATCCCATCTCTCGAGTTCAAGTGGTTGGCGGCGACTATTTTGGCCGGTGACTGGAGCTACGAAAATATGACGTCCATCCCATCTGCCGGTAGGTGGCGATTTTCCTTAGCATGCAGTTTTGACACTATTGGTTAGTAAAATGGTGACACTATGATGGATATAGGGATAATAAGTGCACCTACCACTATATTTTTATTTATAAATGTTATTAGCTATTTTCAACTAAGTGATGTTTGAATGGCTGCAGATTACTAGTATGAAAATGGGCAAGCATGGAACTTATAACTCACCAGCATCATATCGTGTGGATTGTGGCGGGTTGGGGTGCTTTGGACTCCCTATGGCATAATGGTGCACCGGGACATGCAACTGATATTGAGTGTAAAACGTATTGGTTTATTGATTGGATTTTTTTTATCTGGCTGTAAAATAATGTCGTATTTTTACTTCTTGTGGTTGCATAAATCAAATAATTATTGTATGCTATGGTTGTAGAAATTAAATATTTGATACTGCCGACATTGGCTGAAACTAGCTGTCCTGTCCCATGCTTTGAATTTTGATTTATATACTTGCGGTACCTGAATGCTTGACAAGTTAGATTTATATGCTATGTTGTTGTGATTTTTGCATTAATGTAGCCGACATTAGTTTCATGAATAGATTTTTGAGCAGCGAGGCAGCCTGGTCCAGAGACAGCGACTGGCTCATGGAGTTGGACGCGCTCGGCTCGGCTCTGCTCCGGCGACATGGAGGCGCTCGTGGTCAACCACACGATGGTGGGATGCTTATGCATAGGGTGGTTTCTATGATTTTTTTTAGCACAGGCGACTTGGATCTGGATTTTGAATCATGTCTATTGTCCGAGGATGTATCGATACAGACTATCGAGCTGTTTGGTTTCTCGTACAGTAACGCAAACGTAAACAATTTCATTCGCCAGCTAGTTCAAATTCATTCCCGCCAGTAACGTTCGCAGGTCAATTTCATTTACATTTGCGTTTCCATTGGCACACCCAAACAGCTCGTATATGCTTAGGATTTTGAATCATGTCGTCAACCACTATATGTGTATTCTATTCTATACATTATTACAACAAATTTGTATACATTGTTGGAGCAGTTATCTATTCACTTCTACATATTTATATAGATGGTTGGAGCACTCTTCTATGCATTGTTAGAACACTTCGACATACATTGTTGGAACAATTATCTGTGGGCTTCTATACAATTCTATACAAGGTTGGTACACAATTCTATACATTGTTGGTACACTAATTTCTATATGGCAAGAAAATTAATTTTTATTCATCTAACTACTAGTTTCTATGCAATCTCGACGCCAAAAAAGTTTCTGCGCATCTTGACAATTAATTCTATAAATCTGATCATACATCACTTGGCCATTTTTCAAATTTCAAATTTTGGAGAAGACGAGATCATGTCCATGTTTTACGCTTGCGGTCTCCATCTTCTATACATTGTTTCCATGTTAATTATACACCCCCGTAGTGGGAAGCATGATGTTGGTGGGAGGCAATCACGGTTGTGTCAGGTGGAATGCCCATCTCGTGGAGAGGTTGTTATGCGGTAAAAAAATATTTTTTATTCAGCCAACCACTAATTTCTATACAACGTCGGCGCCAAGAACTTCTCCGCACATCTTGACTATTATTTCTATGCATCCAATTGTCCATCATGTGCCATGATTCAAATTTCAAATTTTAGAGAAGATGATATCGTCTTCATGTTTTACGCTTTGCGGTCTCCATGTTCTATGCATTGTTTGCATGTTAATTATACACCCCTATAATGGAAAGCATGATGTTGGTGGAGGCAATCACGGTTGTGTCAGGTGGAATGTCCATCTCGTGAAGAGGTTTTTACGCGGTAACAAAATTAACTTTTATTCATCCAACCACTAGTGGGAAGGGTTTCGTGGGTTTCTAAGCATGGTTCCTCTATTAAATAATCATCCTCTAGTGGAATGTCCATCTCGTGGAGAGGTTTTAATGTGGTAACAAAATTAATTTTTATTCATCAAACTACTAATTTATATGCAATGTCGGTGCCAAAAATGTTTCTTCTTATCTTGACCATCGATTCTATGAATCCGATTGTTCATCACGTGCAATTTTTCAAATTTCAAATTTCAGAGAAGACGAGATCGTCTCCATGTTTTAACGCTTGTGGTCTCCATGTTCTTTGCATTGTTCTCATGTTAATTATACACCCCCATATTGGGAAGCATGATACTGGTGGAGGCAATCACGGTTATGTCAGGTGGAATGTCCATCTCGTGGAGAGGTTTTTACATGGTAACAAAATTAATTTTTATTCATTCGACCACTAATTTCTATGCAACGTCGGTGCCAAAAACTTTTCTACGCATCTTGACCGGTGATTCTATGCATCCAATCGGCCATCACATGCCATGATTCAAATTCCAAATCTTGGAAAAAAGACAAGAACGCCTACATGTTTCTATGCTCTCGCTCACAAGTTTCTATGCGTAGATGAAAGCATGATGTTGGTGGAGGCAGTCACGGTTGTGACAGGTGGAATGTTCATATTGCGGAGAGATTTTTACGTGGTAACAAAATTTATTTTTTATTCATCAAACCACTAATTTCTATGCAACGTTAGCGCCAAAAACTTTTCTACGCATTTTGACCATTGATTCTATGCATCTAATCAGCCATCACGTGCCATGACTCAAATTTCAAATTTATGAATTTTTTTTTCAAAAAAAATTCACAGTGGATCTTTAATCGTGCAAAAAAATGTCAGGAGTTCAATAGTGAAAACCGTTGTTTAAATCGGATGCTTCGTTGAGGAATTATAATGAAAAAACGAAAGATATTATAATGGATGTGTACATGCATGCATGCGTCAGCTCTGTCTAGTTGTATCAAGTGGAACATCCAGCTCGCGACGAGGTTTCTATGTGGTAACGAATTAATTTTTATTCATCCAACTACTAATTTCTATGCAATGTCACGATAAAAATGTTTCTGCGCAGCTTGAACTGAGTTTTTATGCATCCGATCTGCTGAATCTGTAGTGGTCCCCTACCTGCACGTGTGTCAGCCCCACGGACCTGGTTGGGCTAGCTAGGGGGGCTGGCTGGGGCTCTCCATTTGCTATTTGGAGCCCCGGGCTCCCAATAGCGCGGCCCTATATGTTGTGGCGAAATGTGCAGGCATTACACCGTGCCTTTAATTTATGTATGCACAAAGCAGCAGTACGCAAATGTTGTGGCGCACGGCCTTTACACGGATACACAAATACTTCGTCAAGCAAGCAACTAGTCCTGCATGTTTCATTTGTGCTTACATTACATATAACAAAATCACAAATTTATGCGTTTCGACACATCGACACACAAACTAGGTCATATATGTGACTGGAACACAACTGTCACTCTTGCAGTAGAAGATGATGCTGCCATCGCATCTTTTATTTATTTCCTTTGCTTCAAAGATCCATGCATCTTCAGGGTAGCCATGTCGGCATGAAGTTATTCATATGCTCAGGAGCGAACCTGCAAACATGCATGCCAAACACAACAAGAAGACAGGATCAGATCGATGCACAGGGCTGCGCTTTATGTAGCTAGGATCTACCGAATCACATGATGCATCTGCAGGTATATGACATACCCGATCTGCAGGGTTGGCTCTGCTGCAGCTTCCAGGGGATGAAAGAATAATCCATTGCCAACATGTGATGGTGCCTGCTGTGGGGGGGAGTGCCGCTCGTAGCCGAGTAAGTTGGCACCGTGCTCCCACACTTGGCCATGCACCTGGTTGCTGGTCTCCTCCAGCTTTTATTTGCAAAACAATCACGTAAGAAACCTCATTAATCTCACAAATCCCCTTGAAATGTTCGTTTAGTTGGTTAAGTACTACTATCACATATATACCGTAATAGCAGTCAAACGAACAATATGCATAATATATATTTTAAAGAGGTTTAATTATATATTAATTACAGTTATGTTGCCAAAGTTGAACTACAGTATTCCTTATGCAAAACTTGTTCAGAGATGCAAAACATTCCGAGCTACAAAAAGTCGTTCACAGATATATTAAGACAAACACCATGTATAAGTACAACAAAGTGAAAGATGGTTCAGCAAGAAGCATTAATGCGTATTTGTGCTCATGGAAGCTCAATTTATGTGTCGATTGCACATGTATTTGCAAGTGCTAATAAACAGATCTGCCAACTTGAAGACCTGAATTGTTCATTGGTATATATACACCATTTATTTAACCCGAAACATGACATAAAGCCAAAATAATAAGATGCTTCCCCAAGTATCTAAGCAAGACCAGGTAAATTATGTTAGCAGCATTTAAGGACATGGTAAGGCGCATGCATACCTTTCTTCTAAGGCACTTATTTGCTTCACACAGCATTTGCTCCTGGACATGGTTTAGCAATATCATTAAGTAGTTCAAACAGTACCTATGCTCTTATCTAAGCAGAAATTATCCAAAAAATATCTATTGATATAAATCTTGATAAATTTTTATCATGTTAAGAGCATACCCTCCTCTGAAGATCAGTGAGCTGATCAAGCATATGTTGTGTCTGCAAAATCAGAAATTTCTTTGATCAGCATTTGACAGATATAAAATACAAATCATTCATGCCTATATGAGATGAATGACGATCATTCAACATATTTCAAATTCCAAGCCTACCTAATTAAGGAACATTAGTCACAGAAAATATAGGAGATTAATGGGAATATTGTGAATAAAAGTACTATGTTATATGTAGCTGGGTCTTCTTGGCAGGTGATGATCACAATTGTATATAGAGCACTCTATATTCAAAGTGGTCCATTAATTTAGAAATATGAAGGACTGTGCTATCAACACTAGCTTCATCCAAAAATTATTTTAACGTAGGAAATGGTTTGTTCAATGAATTACCCTTGAGGATCTTATGTGCCTTAAGGATGAATCTAGTTGCTTCTCAAGCTGCTCAAGCTCTTTGATACCAAGTGACCCCAGATCTTCACCAAGCAAATTCCTGTAATTGCCAATAAAGTCAAAATCAATTGTCTGCATCTTGGCTAAGCATTACACATTCACATTAAGAAACTTATTTTAACTTCATTGCGATTACATTATGGTTTCTTCATTTAGCCTCCATAAATTGATATCTAATTCAGAGGGCTATGACTTATGAGAATTCTGAATATTCCTTTCAGGTGTGCATATATGCTAACGAAGACCCAATGCTTTAGCTATGCAATGAATCTATTTGTACTAGTTAATCACCAAAGTAGGGCAAACAAACAGCGCACAAATATTTTTTCCCCTGAACAGGGATGCCGTTTACCTGGTAACTAACTACAGCGCATACACTGAAAATGACAAATGACAGTACCACAAACTTATTTTGATGAAATTGTCCAAACATGCATAGCAATTTTATCTAGTGGTTACTTAATGTCAATTGGGTAAGAGAATGAAATTCCTTTTGTAATGAAGATAAGACTCAAGAGTAGACTCAACTTGCCTCTGAGTCCTCTGTAAATTATCCACCCTTGCTTTCAGTTTAAGGTACTCATTGCGACTGCTCTGGACTAACTGCAAAATAAGAGGTACTTCAGTACAAAAGATATCGAGAAAAAAACAAGTAAGCATTAAGTGCTTTTGGAGCAAATAGTGGCTGGGCACCACGTTAGTTCACACACAATAATGATATTTGGAACTATCATCTTTGACAGCAGCTCAATGTAAATTGTGTCTTCTCAATCATATGAATTATATAGCCATTATTCTAACTCATACTTTGGCAAGTGCATGCGATAGAAAGAAACAAGAAATGACAATCTGCTATGCATAAATGATCAAATGATTGAAGGTATCAAGGTTAAGGAATTGCTAGCGCTACGCAATGAGATGTTCACCTGAACAAAACAAAGATATACTGTAGTAATTGTATGTTTCAAATGAGAACAAAGCCACTGTCTTTTAATTTTCACAGTGAGATGTCGACTCATGAAGCTAATTTGACAAATATCAATATTATCAATCTAAAATTGCTTTGAACCAAAGAGTACTAGGGGCATGTTTGGTTCTCCGCCACACCACGCCACAACAAAGTTGAGGCTGCCACACCTACTGACATAGCTGTTTGGATTGCAAATAAAGTAGGCACGCCACATCTTTGCATTGAGCTACAGCAATAAAACTCGCCACAGGTGTGGCGGCTGTTTTTGGCGCTGCGAGTGTGGCGACACCACAGCGGGCATGGCGAGTTCAGGCTAGGAACCAAAGACGCTCTAGAATCTTTGGATGAGAAAATACTAAAACAGAAGAGAACTCATGAGAAATTGATTCAGGAACGTGTCAAGCTCTTATTACCTCGTTCTCCTTGTTCTGTACAGCAGTATCTGGGCCTCCATAGCTGCTTTTTTCGTACCTCTCAAGTGTTTTTGTGATGCTGCGAGTTCAAAATTAGCATGGATTGCTAGCAAAGTAGAGAATGTGGTGCTTGGAGAAGATGAAGCAATCTCAACTAGGGTAATTAACATGCAACTGAATTTTTATTCTTGGTTACATACCAGGGATACATATTGATACCTCAAGTTCACATAGTGTAATTTACATCTATCACAGTTATATATATCACAGAAACTTCCTGATTTTAGCTTACGAGACATTCCAACAGACAAAACAATAGAAAAATTATGGCTTCACCCAGCTACCGTGTAGAATATTAATTTTCCCCTATACCACTGGAGTGTCAGTACGTGGCCCCGACATGCTTTCGACTTTCAGAGAGGAAGAAGGACGTCAGTGAACAAAATCTAGTATACTACTGTATATGTTGAAGATATGCATTCATATCTGACAGCATAAAATACTAGTAGAGCACTAGGTTCCAATTGTATAGACCCTGGAAGGGACATATGATAAAACTTTGCCTTGGAGAATCTTTCTCCATCACATCAAATCTTTGGACACATGCATGGAGTATTAAATGTAGATAAAAAAATAACTAATTACACAGTTTGATTGTAAATTACGAGACGAATCTTTTGAGCCTAGTTAGGCTATGATTGGACAATAATTATCAAATACAAACGAAAGTGCTACAGTGCCCAATACTAATTTCTAACCTCAATCTAAAGGCCTTGGAGAATTTTGCGGGCAAGGGGATTGAAAACTAGTGAAATGAAAGGACAATTCGATCAGAAAAAGGTGAGGAGACAGTTGGACACAACGACTGACATTTGAAACCTGACACTTGATTGTACCCTAGTTTATACCTCCAGGTCAGTCATAGGAATCTTGAGTACAAGGTGGTTTAGACATGTAGATGGGTTAACCACATTTGCTTTACATTTTGAATGGAAACCTTTTAATATTACTACATAAATTATGAGGGTCAGAAGATGATCATGTTTAACTTATTGGAAAGAAAATGGGGCTAATAATATACTATCCTGCTTACAAAAACAAGTCTTGGAGTGAAGAAGCCATAGTCTAGTAGTTCCGCCCACTTGCAAATTACATATATAAAACTGAGGATTCCTATTCCAAATTTAGAGCTAAAATACTAATAAATGCCTGCGCTTGCTAGATCATGCAAGCGTGTACAGAAAATTTTCAGCATCCCAACAATAAATTTAATACTGCAGCACACAAGCCTTAGCCAAAAGCAAAGAGTTGGAACACAACGCCAATTATCTAGTTTTCTCTTCATTTTTCAATAAATTGATTACAGATCCTTGTGAAAATTATGAGATTTTCCTAGGGACCACGAAAATTTTAAAAGTGTGTCCACAAACAGATTTACCACCCTTATGGTTTGATCTTAGTCTTCCCAGTTATTAACAGATACAGGTAAGTTATATTTTCTGTCCACAAAAATGAAAAAGGTTAGACAAAATTATCTAAATTTTGGTACATACAGAGTTTCTTGTGTGAGGGCTTACTTGATGTAGACAATAATGCTAATGGATTGATTTTAATAGTTTGTTAGGTCATTCAATCAAAGCAGATTGTGATCTAAGCCCTGTTCAGATCTAGAACATGATCTAGGTACTCCTATATGATAAAGACTATAAACTATAAAGCAACTGCAACTGAGAACTTTTCATAACGATATGTGTAAAAGTATATTCCTATTTTTTTGCCAGGAGAGAGGGAGAGAGAGAGAGAGCGTTTATATCGTGTTAAACTCATGTATTTGGTGGTAACAAAATTCCTTTTTGTTTTCTCAGAAGTGAAAACAACCTAAAATAATTTTTGAAAGAGACTCTACATTAATATATTAGAACATCAGCTACTAAGCAACACGACGACGTCCATACATGCTTCACGCTTGAACTAAAATAATCTGCTTCTACGCTAAGCTTTCCAAATAGAGTCCAAAACAGACGAAAGAAAAATCTGAGCAAAACGACCGGATTCGATCCCGGATAGATGAAAGCTTACGTGTCCGTGCAGCACAACAAATTCGCGGATCCTAGTCCTCACCTTTTGCTCTCACCCTTTGTAGCTCTCTTTTATTATGAATATATACAAATACGCGATTAATTTAACTGGGAATTCGCGACATCTCCAGACCAATCGATTCTACACGAATCCAGAACCCCTGGAGCAAACGAAAATTCACCAGATCTACTAAGATCACCACACTTCACAAGCCAAGGAGCAACCCAGAACCCTAATTCCCAAAGAAATCCACCAGGTTTCTACTCCCAAATTAAACCCTCAAAAACGAATCACAGATCACCAGAGATGAGAAACGACGAGCTAGCTTGGCCTCGCACGGATCCACCCCGTGGCGCCCAGAGATCCCCGTGAAACTACGCCCCGGCCTCTAAACAAGCTCAAAAACCGTCCAAGCTCCCGCCACCACCCCGCGCTTCCCCGGAGGTCAGATCCGGGAGGATCTGCTGCCTCCGGCCACTGCCCGTACACATGTACCATTTATATATGTGCGTTGTGGTCGCGCGTGCGTGCGTATACCTCTGTCCGCTGCAGAACTCATAGAGCTTGCCGCGGTTGGAGAAGATGATGAGCGCGACTTCGGCGTCGCAGAGCACGGAGAGCTCGTACGCCTTCTTGAGCAGGCCGTTGCGGCGCTTGGCGAAGGTGACCTGGCGGTTGATCTTGTTCTCGATCCGCTTCAGCTCCACCCGCCCCCTCCCCATGGCTCCCAACCCTTCCAGCTACCCCAGCTGCAGCTACCCTCCACACACGCACACACACCGACTACCACACACACCACCGGAGCTGCTAGCTAGCTTCTCCTCTCCGGCTCGACCGGCGGCCCCGATGGAACCAAGCAAAAACGAAGGGGAGAAAAAGGAGGAGAGCGCAGGCAGGACCGCAGGAGGAGTTGGGTGGAGAGAGGCTGCGGTTAAAAGGGCGAGACGAAAGGGGTGGTGAGTGATTGGGGCGCGTCCCGCATTGCCATTTCCGGTAAGGTGGTGGGCGACCCGGAACCCTAGAGGCGAAAGGCCAACCCCTCCCGTCTCGTGATTGCTTGCCTCCGTCCTCACACACGCCACCTTTTGCATTAATCAAATTCAATTCCGCACCTCAATATCCGGCCATGTGTCAGCCTCCCCTCCGCCTCTCTCTCCTCATTGCTGAGCCTCTCTCTCCTCATTGCTGAGCTGAATAAGACCAGTAAGGATTCGACAGGTCGATGCTAGGGAGGACAAAGGGCGTGGACTTTTCCAGATGGAACCTCGGCTTGTCGTGGTTTTGGGCAAAGGCCCCCTTGCCGCTAGAGGCCGCCCCCTGCCCCCCTCCCCCTGCTAACTGCTATAGCTAGGCGCGGCGCGCTGCTTTCCTCTTTCCTCCATCGAGCTCGATCCGTTTTCGTTCCGGCGTGCAGCGATGGAGCCTGCAGACATGCCGTTCTGGTTCGCATCATATCTCGATCGGAAGAGGAGGTCGGTCGCCATTGCCATAGTTCGTGCAGACAGGACGGAGCTCCTCAGCACGGTTGACGTGGTGAGAGCTCCTCGATCCGTTTTGCATCGCTTTTCCCAGAAAGGAGACGCTACACGATCCGTTTCTGCCTAGGGATCCGGGATGTTCTTGTATCTTGTTCCAGGCTTCCGCGGCATGTGTGCACTTGTGTGTAAGATCATGTGGAGTCCTGGACTTTATCACTTCCATATCTGTTGCGATTCTGAAAGGACGATCGATGGAGATCTATAGTTTCATCTTCAGTTGATCTGCTCGATGTGCACCCAACCAAATCATCACTGATTTGGTAACAATGGCTCGCCCTAAATTTAATTGATCTCTTGCAAATAAAGCTCCTATAGGAACCACATGCCAATGCACAACTAAATTTTGCACGCCCTAAAGCATCACTGATTTGGAAACATTGAAAAAATTTAGCAATTGAAAACATATTGTAAATACAAATTAAGGGCCAGATTGTATTTTGTATGACTATTCTCCGATCAAAATATATTCGTCATTCCTGGATGGAAGGAGTAAAATGTACTATGGTGGTTGCAATCACTACGGGATATAGTAGCTTTGCCGAGTGCCACCCAAAGACACTCGGCAAATGCTTTGCCGAGTGTAACACTCGGCATACAACACACGGCATTATTTTATCGGCAAACAGTAGTTTGCCGAGTGTTTTTTATCGCGCACTCGGCAAATAGTTTGCCGAGTGTCAATAAACACTCGGCAAAGAGAAACTCTCGGCACAAAAATGATAACGGGATGGCACGGTGACGGCGATTTTGCCAAGTGCGCGACGGAAAAACACTCGGTAAAGTTTCTCAAGTTTGCCGAGTGTCCAGCCCAAAACACTCGGCAAAGTTTGTAAAGTTTGCCGAGTGTCATCTCCAAAACACTTGGTAAAGTTGCTAAAGTTTGCCGAGTGCAAGACCAAAACACTCGGTAAAGGTTATAAAGTTTGCCGAGTGTCAAGACCAAAGCACTCGGCAACGTTTACACACTTTGCCGAGTGTCACGCCCAATACACTCGGCAAACAAGTGCGCAACGGGCAGATCGAGTGTCCATTTGAATACACTCGGCAAACAAGTGCGCAACGGGCAGATCGAGTGTCCATTTGAATACACTCGGCAAAGACAAAACACTCGGCAAAAAATGTTCCTAGAGTAACATAAATTGGTTTCTTCGCCAAGTGTTTTGGCTCGACACTCGGTAAAGCGTCTCTTTGCAATTCTACTGTTTCCGGTAGTGAATTGAAAGGCGTTCACTGCTCTGGATCCTATCTAGTGTATTAATTACTGCCTTCGGTAAGCTATGGCATGTTTGGATTGCGATCAGATGAGCCACATCAAATACTGTTCATGATAAAAATAGTTGTTTAGATCATGGATAAGGCGAATTCATGGCCGGTGACAATGTTTGCCAAGAAAGAATATATAGTATTTGGAGTAATGCAGTGCCGAATATTGATAAAGTTGTGATTATGATAAATAGGATCCACATGTTATTGATTTATATTTGACATCGGAATATAGCCAACATAGAGATTGTTTCATAAGTAAATCACAAGGAATTTCAAGGTAAATTGCCGATTGAAAACACAGTTTTTTTAAAAAAAATAAGATTTTTAAGGTTGTGTTTTGTTTGTGTATTAGCCAAGCCTGGCCCGTATCTAGGAGAGCAAGGCCCCCCGAGGGACAAACTAAGCGCATGCCACACTGTCATGTTTGGTTGCCACCTAGCTAGTCTGGTCGAGTTAAAATGGTGTTGGGTTACTCACACAAAAATATATTGCCTAAATTAGATAAATAAACATAATCATGACATTTATTATATGCAACTATATATGTTCCGTTGCTATTAATATATCTTATTATTCCTTAATATTGTTTGAAATACCAATATCAAAATTATTGTTTGAAATACATTAACAATATCAATTAATATGCATGCACTATCAATGTCGTTATCTAGGTAATTGCCCGCATCTGTCGAGCCTGGCCCTGTAGAAACGTCCAAAATTTGCATATCACGGGAGCCAGGCTGAGAGGATATTTTTGCATGAACAGGCCCAGAGTGTCGTATAAGCAACCAATCATCAGCAACTCACATCCTATGAGCCTGGTTCAAGTATACGCAGCCAACCAGTCACGCCCAAAATAAATCGGCAGCCAATGTTTGACCCTTGTTGTTCCATGCGTTGTAGCTAACCATTGCCAAAACCTATTTGGCTTTTATAAAAAAATCGGACTTGCTAGCGCCCGAATGTCCAATCCAGAGCGCTAGTGTCAGATGGTGTCGCGCCGCCTGTTTTTCACGCACCCCACGACGCGTGGGCCCTCACGCATGCGCTCAGTTTCTCACACGCCCGTCTGCGCCCACTCGGCGGCATCCCAGCAGCGGGCCAACATTGCCTGGACATCACCCAGCAGCTGCAACAGGTGGCTGCGGTAGGTGAGTCCTATTGCAACATGGGTGCAACATCATATCTACTTTTGCAACACCGAGATAAAACACTTGCAACGTACGTCTGAAACAGCTGAAACACTTGTAACATACGCCTGAAACACTTTCAAAACACTTGGAAAACACTTGAAAGCCATTGCAAACATATATATGCAACATCCATAAAAAACACTTGAAACATATGCTTGGAACATGCATGTATATGCAACATCCGAATCTACTTTTGCAACATTCAGATGAAACACTTGCAACATACGTCTGATACAGATGAAACATTTAGAACATACACTTGAAACATACGTGTATAGCCATTGCAACATGTGCAACACCCCAATATACTTTTGCAACATCCCGATCTACTTTTGCAGCATCGATATAAAACACTTGCAACATACCTCAGAAACACTTGAAACATACGTTTGAACCATACTCTTTCAGCGCAAACATCTCCATGCTACTTCGGTGAATGGAGGCTTGTCGGCACGTGGAGGTCACCGGTGTGCTCACCAGCAACGTGGAACTAGGCGGCGGCGCGCATAGAGGTGGGGTGGGACGAAAGCGGGTGGCGATGGGTGAAGGGCGGGTGGGTGGGCGTGGAGATCACCCAGTGTGCTGCGCCAATGATGACGAGGCGGACGGGCGGCGACGCCTGAAGAGCGGGGTCGGTGGTGCGACACGGGCGCCGGTGGCGTAAAGAGTGGGCTAGCGCAGCAACGGTGGTGTAAAGGGTGGGTGGAGTGTCTGAACGATCGGACACCCTGACCTAGCATTTTCGGACAAAAATCTACTTGGCTTGCTAAAATTTGTTAGCAAACCAAGTTAAGGGCAAAATTTCACGGCCTGCCAAATTTTGATCGGGCTTTTCGATGGCCATAACCAAACAATCCTTTAATCTTGACATTCCACATTTCAGAGACGAGAATCTTAACTTGCATCTAGGTCACTTTTCTTGTTCGAGACGTCAGGTTTAGCTGACTGGTAGGTGGGAGTAGTACGAACTCTATATATCTATATACTCCCTCCGTCCCCCAAATGATTGTCGTTCTAGAGCTAGGCACGGAGATTAAGATGAAAGCAAAAAGATGAAAAGAGCCCTATGAGTAGTACGCATGGCAGTGATCTCTCTCATCTGCTGTTCTAGAGCCATTCACAAAGAGCAATCGTGTTGCTGCGAGGGATGCGGAGACCAGCAGATGAGGACAAGAGGGGGTGGGATGGGGTGACAGAATAAAGCTGCAGGGCTAGTTCGTAGGTGTTGAACAGCCTAAACGACACTTATTCGGGGACATGGTTTGAAATCCACGACGACGGTCAATTCGGGAGGGAGTACTCCATAATATAATATGAACGGCCGTGCTTGCTCCAAAAACCAGCCAACCAGAGGCTGTCAAGCCCGCATAACCTAATAACCATCTGCAATACTCGAAAACCCAGAGGGGCTAACCGGCAAACTTCACCACTCACCTTCGCCCCTGACAAAAATTCATGTGTCATGACTCATGACTCATGAGTCACGACGAATCTGTACCGGCGCGAGAAGAATTGAGAGCCCGCGCGGTCGCCTGGTCTGCACAGGCCCCGCCGCACCGGACACGCCGTCGTCCGCCGTCCAAAACCGGCGGTTCGGAGAGAGATCGCGCACTCGCGCGGGGGCAGCCGGCAGCGGACGGAGGCAAACCAAACCACGCGCGAAGTGAATGCATGGAAACACCCAACGGACCGCGCGCGGTGCCGCCTGACGCTGACGCGAGCCCC